TCGGGTACAAGTATCTTGAGACAATACCCGTCGGGTCCAAGTATCTTGAGACAATACCCGTCGGGTCCAAGTATCTTGAGACAATACCCGTCGGGTCCAAGTATCTTGAGACAATACCGGGCGGGTCCAAGTATCTTGAGACAATATCCGTCGGGTCCAAGTATCTTGAGATAATACCCGGCGGGTCCAAGTATCTTGAGACAATACCCGTCGGGTCCAAGTATCTTGAGACCATACCCGGCGGGTCCAAGTCTTGGTCCGGATGTTAAAAACAAGATTTATCATTTTGAATAATGGATTGCATCCGATTTAGAGGAGTGAAAATTGCATTTACGGATTGGGAATGTTTCAAATTTGAAAACTTCGGAGCACGCATAGCCCTTAGAAACCTCACAACCATTAGACACCTCCTCTCCATTGATGCCACAAAAACTCTTGTCTCTTCACTCTTTCTTTCAAAATTTGACTACTGTTACACTCTTCTCCCAGGAATTCCTCAACACCACATAGACAAACTTCAGAAGACACAGAACTCAGCATGCAGATTCATTTTTAAATCAAAGAAACACGACCACATTCAACCACACAGGCAGCAACTCCACTGGCTTCCAATATCCTCTCGCATCAAGTACAAGTCTGCCAATCTATGCATCAACTCTTTCACTGAACCTCACTTTCCTGTCTATCTCTCTGAAATTTTGCTTCCTTACATTCCCACAAGACAACTACGCTTTTCAACTGACAATAGAACTCTCTCAATCCCAATAACCAAAATTAAGACCATCGGTGAACGCTCCTTCTAATTCCATGCGCCCACATTCTGGAACTAGCTCTCCTTCACACATCCGTCATTGTGAAACCTCGTCCACATTCAAAAAGTCCCTTAAAACCCATCTGTTTTGCTCATCCTATGACATGCACCCTCCTTGCCCTGCCTCATTTTCTGTCTCGGGTTGATCCTGTATTTATGTCAAAGTATATGCCAAAAACTTGCCAAAGTGTACTGTTTTTAAAGCCATTTTAATGTTTTAGCTACTGTTGTTATAGTCATTTTTCACATTGTAGTTACAATTCTAGTGTCTCTGGCTTTTCAATTTTCTTTTACCTTAGCAGTTTAAATAGTTTACATATTTTTTAATAATTGTAAAGCGCTTAGAGCTGTAAGGTAAGCGCTATCTAAAAATGCCTAAATAATAATAATAATAATAATAATAATAATAATAGTATATACTCTTTAACTCAGCTGTTCTCGACCTCTTTAGTGCCGCAACCACTTTATCCCATTTTCCGAGTTGGAGCGAAAAACAACCAGAGTTTATACCTTGAAATTGAGAAACATGTTGAGAAGAGTGATGGAACAGAGCATTTTAGTTAATCAATAGATGTTGGTGCTGTAAACCAGTTTAGAGGAAAGCAGAAGAAGGGTGGAGGATTCTGTAGAGGAGGGTTCTGTAAGTAAAGCCCCAGAAAGTTGTGATTAATTCACACACCTGCATTTGGTTTTGCATGGTAGCTTCCCTTTTTAAGTTTTAGACACGAAAACAAAATAATATACATTTTTTTTTAAAGGAGAAGAAACTATCAAAATATTTCTATTAAATTAACTGCCACCATCTATGGAATGAATCATCTTTTTATATAGCTGTTGTGAATTCAGAGTATAGAAACAATAAGAAAATAGTGCGATCACTGTAAACAATAATTTAGTTCTAAATAAAAATTGAAAGGAATTAAACAAAAAAAAGAGACTATTTAACACACACACCACCCACCTCAAATTTCTGAAATTCTCTGTCGACGTCTGATTTCTTTCCTAAATACCCCAGTAGATTGTGGCCCACAGGTTAGCAACCCCTACAATAACACTGGTCCCTAGAAAAGTCAACCATGGAGCGGAGATTGGTTATGTGCGTTAGTGTTGCTGGTCGCTGTTTGGTTACAGTTTTCATTTTTTCGGATTCCAACGTACGCATCTCGTTTAAATCATTATTTTTTAATCATCATTTTGGCAAAACCAATCTCACCATCCTTCAGTTCAGTCAATTGCTACACATTTCAAGGGTTCTTAAATTACTTGACTTTCATGAAGTCTAGGACAGAACGCAGAAATGGTCGCCACACACACAGACCAACACACACACACACTTTGGATGCTCAGTATTATCGGCCAGTCAGCACGTGAAAAGATATATTAATTGTAAAATAGACGGTACCATGGTTATAGCAAAAGATATGAATCTTTAAAAAAAAATATATTATTTTTTTTACAGCGAGTACACAATTATTTTTAGAGTTTTGTGGTTTGTTTTAGCTTACGTTTAGTTTCGCACCAATTAATAGTCAGTTTTCTATTATCTTTTATTAAATTCAGGTAAAATGTGCACACAATTATCTAAAAGAGATGTATTCGTTCATAAATGCACTATTCATTTCTCTCCATTGGGTGACAGAACAATGAGAAAGACATAACCCTTTCTTTCTCACACCCGGACCCGGTTCTGTTTGCCGGGCCAGCGGAGTTTATCGTGTAAACAAATTTAATAGTTGTCATACTTTTTTTATGTCCACTTCCATGAAGAGTTCCTGATAACAGAATTGACTGTCAAGTATAAAACAGCCCATGGGTAGTGGTCGGCACCAAAATTGCCAATCATGTCTCCTCTACTCTTATGTACACTCTTTTTGATGAGTCTTTCTTCATCAGGTATTTATATATTATTCGTTAAACACTTATTACAAATACGTTTTTTATGATGACAGCGTTTATTAGTCTCTGTTAAATTTTGTTCGTTATTTTTTTTTTTGGTTTAAAACTTAGAATAAACATGCTGGAAGAAGTGGAAATACAATCTTGAAGCCTTAGCGTGGATCAGTCTAAAATCTGTCAGTGTCATACTTCGTCAGTATGAATGTTTCATTTGAATTCTTTCGCATTTCCTTCCTTTTAAAGGCTATATTAAAAAAAAAAAAATCTAGGAAGCAAATTTCAGATTTTTGCCTTCACACCCATCTTGAAATTAAAACGTAGATGCTTCTTCATTTCCTTTCGGAGCTCATTCTTTTAAATTATTTTTTTCGGACTAAAAAATTGCTCTTTCAAAATTATTTAAATGCGTGTTTTAACAAAGTTTATGTAGAATATTTTCTAAAGCGATACAAAATAATTGTTCAAGCCTTCAATGGCCAAGAACATTTTATGTAAAAAGATCATTCATTGAATTTTCCAGCTACCGGGCTTCAGTTCAATGTCCAACCAACAAGGATTGAGTTCGGGCTCTCTAAGCGATTTTATCTCAATTGTTCGTTCAACCACGGAACTGACCCTGAGATGTCCAGCCTGGTCTCGCTTTTTATTTCGCGCTCGAAAGACACAACAATCGTGGATTTTCATGAGATAGCTTCCATCAACACATTTTCCGGTAGTGTCAGCGACATAGAGCTGGACAACGCCACCTTTTCCGGCGTCATCAACAACCTCGGGGTGTCATTTATCAGCATGGAGTGGAAGTTCCCAGACGAAGATGTGTCGGGTGTCTACAAATGTGTCGCTAACGGCGTTGACGGTACTGGACACCCCATAAGTGTCATGTCTACAAGTCTAGTTACAAGTGAGATACCCGATACCAAAGACTTGGTGCAAGTAGTCCGTAACCTCATGATCAACATGGACTACGCTCTAGAAAACACGTGCATATCAGGTATAGAACAATCAGTAATTTAATCATCAATATATCGCATTTAACACTTTTCCTTGTAATCTCAGGTTAAAATATATTTTGAAGTGTTTCGAATAGTCAATATATTCTTACGTATAACCGAAAACTGTGAACAGATGACTGAAGATGTAAAAATATTTTAGACTTTGAATATGGTGTCTGGGGCGTAGTTGCAGTTCATAGTTCATCTGACCCACAGTTTAATATCATGTGATCAGTTGTCCCATTTTTGTGTGTGGCGATTTCGTCAACTCTGTCCTAACACCCCCCACTTCCCTCTTTTCCCCGGCGTCACGGCTCAGTGATTCTCATGTCTCCAAGATGTGCTGGCGCGAGTTAAGAAAACATACAAATCAGAATTAGTAGTAAAGCCAGTGGAGGAGCAATACATATTGCCTCAGCCATGCTTGAGGCCTTCTAAAAAAAAAATTGCAGTTACGCTGACCGTGGTGTCGAAAGCTGGCTACGCCACTGATACACATGTCCTAAGAGGGGGGTTAAGCCCAGAACCCCCACACAAGTATCTTAAATAGTCGAAGAGGACCACAGAGAAGAAAACTAAGTTGCACCGGCCCCCAGCGATAAAGTGGATAAAAATAATCTTACTTCTTAATTTATAATCTCGTAACGTCAGCTCTCCCGTTCCATCTGGTTGTTAGGGTTTTGGTGGGAAATGGTATTGTAGTGAAATTTCCTTGCTGGTTGTTATTAGAAGGTGCAGTTCAGGATTGGAGTGTACTCTGAGTGTACATGGGACTGATGAACAGAGGTTTATTTGTGCCAACATTATTGGAGTCTGATGTGTCCAAAATGGGGATGAATTTTAAAAAAAAATCTTTATTTTCAGTTTGTGTGAACTATCATTTATCTTCCATATATTTCATGTTAACTAATTGCATGTACGTTTTTCTTTTAAACCTTGAAACTATTCCAGGCTGTTGGCAGCGGCGACTAGAACAGATGATGAAGGCGAGGTTTGAAATATCTTTGTACAAAGGTCACAGGTATCTCTTGTCTAAAATTGCCAACATTGCCTCCGTTGCCGTGGCCCAAGAGTCGTGTGAACTCTACGGAGGTTACCTCGCTGAGATCGACGATGAAAATGAGTGGCTGTTCGTACATAGTTTTATTAAATCCACCAAAGTTGATTACAGATTGGTTTTGATTGGAGGAATGGATGAAGGTCACACAAATCATTGGGTTTTCCAGCGTACTGGAAGAAACGTTACTTACACGAAATGGGGATCAGGCAGACCATTTGTAGGTTATATCACCTATAACTGCCTCTACCTATTTGGAGATATTGACTGGTTTATGGTCGATTTTGTATGCTTTGAAACAGACAGAACCTATAGCACTAGGTACCTGTGTGAATTACCCGAGTAATGACAGGAACAACAAATTTCTTATACGAAACATTAATAGCTCTTTTGATTTTTTTCTTTGATCTCTGAATATTAATTAAAACAAGAATTTCTTGAGGTTATTTTTTTAGGTTAAATAAGATATTTATTGATTTAGTTCAATGAAGATATTAATTCTTAAAAGAGAAATGTTATTTTGTTTTCGAAAGTTTTTTTTTTTTTTTTTAATTGCAGTTGCTAGATTTAATCTATTTGAATTGTGCTATTCATATTTTTTTTTTTAATACCATGACTGACCATTTTATTATTTTTTCTGAATTAATTATGAATTTATTTTTTTAAAAGAGAAATTTTTTTTTTTTTTTGAAAGTTTTTTTTTTTTTTTTTAATTGCAGTTGCTAGATTTAATCTATTTGAATTGTGCTATTCATATTTTTTTTTTTAATACCATGACTGACCATTTTATTATTTTGTCTGAATTAATTATGAAGTTATTAATCTTATCTAAAAATTGGCTATTTGCGTAGTATATCTAACCAGACTTGAGTTACTTTCTCTATCATGAATCACACCAGCATTCTTTATATTCAAATGTGTTTTTGTTTTTAAAAAAAAACAACCTTGCATACTTCGTAATATACTTGATAATGATAGTGCTTAAACAAAACAAAAATTGTAAAAAAAATCTTTAAGTGGACTATTTTTGCAACTGTTTGCCTGTACCAAACTGACATAAATGAAATATATAGACCAGAACAATGCATATCCTAGTTGACTGGAGGGTTTGGCTACACATTTTATTGGAGGGGTAATAAGGGGAGAGACTGCAATCAGGTTAGGACAAAATACAATGAGTAAGACAAAGTAGGGTTAAACCTGAAAAAATAAACGCAACAAAACAGCGAACGTGTCGGCAGAAAGCCTTCGTCAGCGAACAAAACAACAGAAAAAACGGTATACAAATGAAAATAAGAATAAGCACTTAGCTGGTAAGTAGTATCTGTGGGCAGCAATAGAAGTGTGGAGTTTTTAGCTACATATTTTATTTGAAAAGATTGAACATTAATTCTGCCTTTTTGTTGTTGTTGTAACTTTTTATTTGATGCAGTAAGCTGATTTCGGTTATTAATTCTTATAATAGAGACATCCAAGTGTCGCCACTGATATTAAGCTAACATGGTATGAAAACGGCCGACTTTGAAATAAAAGTTAACCAAATAATTTTCTATATTAAAAAAAAAGTAACGCTATTTAAGACATTCAACTAATTAAAAAAAAAACCCAAACAATCATTTACTGATAAATAAAAGGTCTTCTACTGTGATTTGTTTCGTTCCTTGTATTGCACTAGTTTTAACTGTAACATAATCGCATCAGTGATACAGTTTAGACAGAAACTTTTTGTGTGTCATTTATGAAGTTTGAAATGAATGTACAATATTTAAATAATTTTATATTTTAAAAAAAGTCAAAATCAGCAACAGACTGAAATTGTTCCGTGTGTAACAAATCGTGCCATTGAGACATTGCTGTGCACTTTAAATGTCCCATATATTCAATGGCGCTCTTTGACTCATGCAGAAACGAGCTAAATTACAAAATTGACAAATGTCCCATATATTCAGTGGCGTTCTTTGACTCATGCAGAAACAAGCCCAATTACAAAATTGCCAATCACCCGTCCCCACACACACACATCTACTTTGTAAAGTTGGCCATGGAATTCCAAAAAAGAATGCCCAGAACGATAGAGCCCGGTTGAGGATGTACCATGTTTTACAATGGGTTATAAGGTCATGTCGATGGAACGCTGTGGCATTTGTTATTGTCAATGTTGGTGTCAGCCCTTCTGATGGTATCGCTAGTGCTTTCAGCTCCCTATGGTCCTCGGATGAGGCCTCTGCATGCAATTATAGGCTTTTGTTAATGTTTTCTGCAAAGAAAGCTGCTAAGTGATGGCCCACTCCTTGTGTCAAAAAACTGTACTGCCTCCATCGTTCCATTGTGGCGGACGGCTGCCCCCCAAAAAATTACAAATTATAAATTTATAACAAGTCAAATGTTAAAAAAAAAAATACAAATTTTAATATATTAACAAATAAGCATTAACATTGTTGATTCAGAAATAAATATTCACATTGTTATACTTTCAGAAAAAAAAATCATTTATTGATTAAAAAAAAATTGTTTTTGCATATTTTTGAGTACATAAGATAACAATGCTACACGTTAAAGGTAACATTAGAAATAATGTGAGCGTATAGACCCAAATACCAAAGCTTTCGAATCATTGATAATTATAAACCTTTCTCAAACGAAAGAGAACAGAACAAAGCCGTCTATTGAGGAATATATTTGGAATTTGAGTATTTGTTTCAAAAATGGTATTAAACTTAGGATTTATTTAGAAATTGTTCCTTTATTCATTATTTTTAATAATGTCTATTCCATTTTTTTTTTAAATAAAAAAAAAACTACTGGAAATATGATTTCCCTTGCGATGAAAATATTTTTTTTTTTACCTAAACCACTTCTAGTATATTTAACTAAATGTTTAAAAGGAAAAAAAATACAATATATAGGAGAAACTTTAAAACACTGACAAATTTAAGAATTTTATTGATGGATAAAGGAAGAAAACTATATGTAAGATAATGTACAAAACATTCGATTAAGAGAGAGTTAGCTAAGCTATTGCCAAGAAGATATGAGCAGCCATCTTTCTTCTCGCGGAAGCCCCCTACTGTCACTGTAAAGGTTGTTTTATGCCCAATTTTTACATTAAAAAAATTCATTTCTTATATTTACCCTGTTGTCGAGTTACTGAGAAAGGATTTTGATTTCTGCATATTTTTTTTTCATAGAATTTTTTTGTGTGCTTGAAATAAATGAGGTCGTGTTTGATCGTGTTTAAAATGGCCACACCAGTTTTTGCATCAGTTTTTGATATGCGCAGAAGGTGTACGCGAATGAGTTTCACGATAATTGTAACACCTGAGGAGATTTCGACCTCAAATTAATATTTTAAAATTTAATTGAATAAAGATTTTTTTTTTTCAAAATTAGAAAATGCTAGATTAAAAAAGAAAATGTGACTCACAAATTTTTGCCCCACCCCCTCCCCCGCTCCACAAAGTGTGACGAATTCTCAATCCCCCTCCTTCCCCTGAGCGTGACGTAATTTGCGAATGACCTTTAACATATTCAAGTCCTGCATTTCTTGTCTGGTATTTTAACTGCAAAAAAAAAATAATATAATAACACCAACAACACTTCATTTATTTTTTATCTCGGAACTAAGTGATGGGTCGTGTCAGCGATAGCAGACTTGAACAAGAAAATTAATGCCTTTAATTCAACCCCTTTAGCGCAGCTCACTTTTATTGGGTGAAATCAGCCCCCTTCTGGTAGCGACAGGGTCGTCGTTAGGTTAGAGAATAATTATGTATTTTGACATTTGCGCACCGAAATCTACCGCACTAAAGACGATAGCTGGATAGGATAAAAATGCCGTCTCTCAAAAGAAACTCAGGATGAAAATAAAAGCCCAACAAATCTAATGCTCTTTTTTATTTGGGGTGAACTGTAATCTTGCATTACAACTTTAAGATTAGATAACATTTGATATGATTTATTTCCATCACTGACGCAAAATATCACCGAGGCCTACTGACTTCGTTCAAGGGATTATCTGCTGGTGACCTTAGACTTAAACATGCACACACATTATTATCAGTAAGAAGTTGGTCGTATTTTTTTTTCAATTATCATTTAACTGGTTTATAAGCCTCGACCTGAGTTGGCCTTGGCGAAACTGGCAGGAATGCATATCCCCCTCCCCCCCCCCCCAACCCCTAAATGGTAAAAAAAAAGTTTTAACATGTAAAGAAAAACTCACATCTTATAATTACATTAATACGTACACAGCTGTTCAAAATGTTGTTTTTTTTTTTTACATTCACTGCGCACACCCACACTGCGCAGAGTGAGATAACAACCAGATAGCTTGGTATAAATACACCTACACACACGTTGGTCAGTTGGGTCAGTAAGACAAAGATGGAGACTTTTTTGCCAAGTTCAGTAGTGTTGCTGCTGTTGTTTGCTTCTGGAGGTAGGTGGTTGCAATACTATGCTTCGAATCTTTTGTTTAACAATCACAACGAGAGCAACAAAATATCACGGTAAAATACCTTTGATTACGGTTGCCCGGGAGACGGGACACGCTCATGACGTTTGTGTCGATTAAAACTATTGTTCCACGGAAGATTGAGATTTGAATTTTTAAAATCGTGTGTAAATTATGTTTAAGTAAATTTAGTTAAATTTTGATTTTTAACATTAAGGGAAACTATACTAATAGAATGAACGTTTCTACTACATGCGGATAACACAAGACTTTCTAATTGGAGTGAATCGCCAGCGCCCTGGGCAAGATAAGAATAAACAAAGGTGTTGGAAGGGGGTCGCATGGTTGGGGGGACGATCCGTCCCGTGCAGTGTAGATTAGTACTCACTGTAGTCAAAAGATTTGAATTGGATGTAGATGAAACTTTAATATGTTTCATTTTTATTAATTTTTGAAACATTTTTTTTCAGCTCAAACTTTCTTTGCGTAATGCATTTTAAGAAATTTTAAATAATCTCCTACTTTAAAAAAAAAAATGCGTTTTAACTCGTCTTTTATAGAAAGTCTGAATATTTATTTTTAAAAAAATATTTTGTTTTTTGCTACATGGTTGTATTAAAATTGTAATAATTAAATTACAAAAAAAAACAGTAACATTTTGTTTAAATTCTCCAAGTCATTCAGCTCTCATATGAGTCTGCCTAGATACGTATTAACGTTGTTCACTGAACGAAGCCGACGTAATGTTGACTCAACTTACATTTGGTTAGCGAGACCATCAACTGAGCTAAAAATAGCCCGTATTAAACCCCAAAAACATAAATAAGACAAACTACCAAAGAATATTAAAATGCGAGGAGAGAGAGAGAGAGAGAGAGAGAGAGAGAGAGAGAGAGAGAGTTTAAAAACACACTAGTACGTTACAAACCGGAAGAACTGTTTTGTTTGCAAGAGCACACTATTTTTAAATCATTCATATTAACTTTGCTCTATTTGAGTGTTCCTTCTTTCAAACTCGGAGTGTGGTAATATTCTTGGAAGACTAAATTAACCACCTTCCGACAATCTATCGAGCTGAAACTTGCCACATAGCAACGTGCCCGATGACAACACATTCTAAGAAATTTCTATCCCCACCTTCAACCCCATCATCCACAAAATCGGGTTTATCCTACCTAAACAGGGCAAGATAAAGGAAATATGATTTGTTCAACGATTCTGTGCTTTGGTGTGGAAATTAATTGTGCAGCTTTGCATTTGCGACGTATTTGGAAAAACGATAAGATTTAAATGTATTTTTGAAGGGTAAAATGAAGTAAATATGAAGCGTTTTTTCACCAGAAGTTAACCTATTTTCATAACCGTTCTTTAATAAATGATAAATGACATACAGTTAAATAAATTATGCAACAATATTTTAAAGGATTTATACGCAAAACCTGTGAGTTAGGTATTATTTTGTTCAGTATTATTTTGTTCAGTATTATTTTGTTCAGGATTATTTTGTTCAGTATTATTTTGTTCAGTATTATTTTGTTCAGTATTATTTTGTTCAGCATTATTTTGTTCAGTATTATTTTGTTCAGGATTATTTTGTTCAGGATTATTTTGATCAGTATTATTTTGTTCACTATTATTTTGTTCCGTATTATTTTGTTCAGAATTTTTTTGTTCAGTATTATTTTGTTCAGTATTATTTTTTATATATTTTTTTTTCTTCTCTTCTGAATGGTTTTGTGAGAGACTAATCCAGTGGTCATTTTGCTACACAACCGACTTAAACATTGGCCTGAAACCACCAAATTTAAAGATAAATTAAATAGGCTTGTTAAATCATGTTATTCCTCATTGAATCTTACAGCCTCTGGTCTCCAGTTGTTCAACATCCAGCCAGCCAACATAGTCCTTGGCATTACACCCCGATTAGACCTGAAATGCTCCTTTACTTTTGGAGCGGGCGACAATGTCTCCACTCTTGTCTCGCTCTTCATATCACGCTCCAATGACCCGGAATACACGGTGTACCAGGAAATCGCGTCAATCAACACATTTTCTGGCCATCTTGTCGACATCAGCCACGGCAACGCGAGCCTTTCCGGCGTCATCAACAACGGCAGCGGAGAATCTTTCATCTCCATGCAATGGAGGTTCCCAGGACTGCAGGAAACGGGGCTCTACAAGTGTGTGGCCAACGGCATGGACGCTGCAGGACACCCTCTGAGCGTGACGTCTATAAGCGAAGTCACGAGTGAACAGCCAACTATGAGTTCTATGATTGAGGCCATCCGAAATCTCGAAATAAACACGGCTCGTGCGTTGGACAACATTTGCATATCAGGTATTCACGCATTTTACTGAATAAATAAACAAACAATAATATACTTCTTCAGTAGAACAGTAGAACAGTTACAAATCATTTTTACGAAACAGGTTCGGGATAAAAGACATCAACTGCGAATGCAAAGAACTTTTCTATTTAAACCTTATTAAATTCTGTTTCTATTTTGAGCCTCTTTAAATGATGATGATTTATATAATATCGCTTGTCTTAACAACCAAAAAAAAAAAAAAGCAACGTTTTTGGTTTGTTAAAAATTATTAAGGAACAAAATTGTATAAAGTTATAGTCTTTCTGAATTGTTATTATTTTTAATCCAGATTGCTGGCAGAATCGTCTGGATCAGATGAAACAAGCGAGATTTACCGTGTCAACTCTCTATAAAGGTCGGAGATATCTTTTGTCGAAATTCGACCGTGGTGTTTCTTCCCCGTTGGCGGAGGAGTCGTGTGAACTGTACGGCGGTTATTTGGCCGAGTTTGACGACAACGACGAACTCCTTTTCGTGCAAGGCTTCCTGAGGGCGAACAGCGACTCTGATCACAAAATGGTCAGAGTCGGGGGCACGGACGAGGGTCACGAGGGCACCTGGGTTTACCAGCGAAACAACAAGCCGATGGCCTACACGAAATGGGTACCAGGTGAGCCGGACGGCAAGTCTCACGCTGACTGCGTGTACCTGTGGGCGGACCACGAGTGGCTGATGGACGATACCCCATGCAGTCTCTTTGACCCATATTACATTGCACGATACTTATGTGAGGTACCAGAGTAAAATGGAGAAATTACCTTTTATGAATGTATCAAAAGAAGTGTAGTTTATCTCTAATCTTGTATATTAATGAATAAACAGATTGAACACCCTTTTCATGTTTAATTCAGTTGTCAAAGCAATGAAAGCAAAACCTAAGAGTGGTAAGAAGTTTGGGAAGAAACATAGAATAACATATCAATGAGACGGATCCATACAAATGAGTCGGGCAAGGCCGTAGATATGTACTGGAGAGAGCAACAGACATTTACTGGCAAGAGCCATAGGCATGGAATTGAGGTCAGAGTCATAGATAGAGATAGTCGGACAGAATGATAGGCATGGACTGTACCATAGGTTTGGTATTGGACACTACCATATGCTTTGTATTGGACAGTACCATAGGCCTTTTTTTGGGGACATGTTACGTACTGTTATAAGGTTTCTACTTTGTAACTGGCGGTTGGTATAATATTTAAAGAGTTCATTTGTTTTAAATTAGTTTTTATATAGAGGAACTATGCGTAACAAAGGACTGAAGGATCGGTAAGCGACAAGTACAGCCCTGCAACACAATGTCGTGCAATCCTCCATGCAAAACGGAAATAGAGACCGATTTAAAGTCTCGGCCTCCCTACATATCCCTGAAGGTAGAGGATTCGAGCTATTTCATGACACACTGATTTTCTAGAGCAGATTCCCAAAGTTCAAACTCTCCCACCCAAGGTCGACTGAGGCCAGAGGAAGGGAGGGAACCGTCACCGCCCGGTAAACACAGGTCAAAAAAGAAATAAAATGGCTGGGGAAATGACGTACGCTGGATTAGCGAAAAGTATATCATCAAGTTAGGTGGCAAATATAAACAAGAAAAATGAGTTTGGAATTGGGGCATAATCATATTAATCATAGGTATTGTTTTGACAGTCCCGTAGGCATTACATTATTGCAGAAGCTTAGGCATGATATTAGGTCATAGCCCTGTGTTTTGCATTGGAAACTGCCATAGGCATAGTTATCAGGCAGAGCAATTGACATTGTTTTGGGTCAGAGCCAAAACCATGGTATTCTTGAAGAGCAATCGCAACCGTAATGCAATGGGACAGGTGCAAAGATAAGATTAATTTATTGATCGAAATAAAAGGAAACGTTTTAATTTTAATCAAATTTATATATTTATTTACACACACATAAATAAATACACGTTTTATAAACAAGACAACACTTTATACAATTACAACAATTTTAACGCACAAGACGTTTAAAGTATTTCTCTGGTTTAAAGTTAAGCCATCATGTAACACAAATAACGTTGTTGGATCAAAAGGTTGTCACCAAGTTTCGTATTTGTTGGGGAATTTCGTGGAAACGTCAGAGATTTTAAATGAGATATGAAATAGAATGATAGCGGCCGCGTGATCTTTTACAATTATCATATATCGTAGACACACAGAGTTCATTGTATTGCGTTGTTGTATCAACATATTTAAACATTATATTTAGTTGTTTTTTTTTTAAAAGTAAACCCCATCTTTTTTCTTATTTTTTAACACGAAGACACCGAATCGTTTATACAAAAAAAAAAAAAAAAAAAACAAAAAACAAAAAAAACAAAAAAAAAAACCAAGACTCGTATACGAGTTCAAATGGTCATCTTCTTGGTGCACATAATACTATAAAAGCAATACTAAGATGTTTTCAGATGGCTTATACCACATTAAATCATCGTGGTCTTACCCTCCCTTAGAGCATTTGAGGAGGTAATTCTTCCCTTGACGCATTGAAGCATCGGTTATCTTAGCTTTGTTAACATAGTAAACACAAACAGCTAGTAAACAAAAACCAGAAACACATAGATTGATGTTTATCATAGATACAGCTGAGTAACAAAACAAGACAAAAAATGTTTATTATTTTCTAATCAAACTATAATGACGATGTTTGAGTAGATTACTGCTACTTTAATTAATCTCATTGTTTACGTTTCGTTGCTATGTTAAACAATCGCTAGATAACTAAACAGTACACTGGAAAGAAAATATAAAGAAAACTTCAAGGAAATATAAAAGGAAAACCAAAGCTATTGAACTGCAAAATAAAATTTAAAAGAAAAAAGTAATTATTCTACGGTTATTTATTTGGGCATTTTTTGTATAGCGCTGACCTTACAGCTCTAAGCAATATACAATTATTAAAAATATGTAAACTATTTAAACTGCTAAAGTAAAATAAAAATGAAAAACCAGAGACACTAGAATAGTAACTACAGTGTGAAAAATGACTATAGAAACAGTAGCTTAAACATTAAAATGTCTATAAAAACGAGTATATGTTGGCACGTTTTGGCCTATACTACAGGATCAACTCGAGACAGAAATGACAACATAAATAAAAATATATCATTTAGTACTGTGTATCCCAAAGTGGTTTTTCCGCAGAAAAGCTCCGGTCCACGACGAGCCTTAAGTTTCCGGTCCGCACAACGTGAGACAAGAAACTGGATAAAAGATAAATAAAGTTAAAAAGCAATTAATTACAAAATATTTTTAAAAAATTGTTTGTTGAAGACATGCGATTGCGTGATGAAGACATGCGATTGCGTGTTGAAGACATGCGATTGTGTGTGGAAGACATGCGATATTGTGTTGAAGGCATGCGATTCTGTGTTGAAGACATAAAATTGCCCTAAATCAATTCTCGCTATATTATATACAGCTTGTTTATAGACGCTTCAAATGTCCGCAAACACAGTTGGTAACAACAAAGAAGTTTACTTACTTCAGATTATCTTTCGTATGAAAAAAAAGAAATTATATCTGGACACTTATCTCAACTCTTTATCACACTGCTACGAAACTCTGTCTCACTCAGCTCGAATCTTCTTCTTGGTCAACCGATCGCGTCGAAAAAAACACGTTAAGTAAAAGGGTAAGACTTCAGTCTAGATTACTTTTTAACTTTCCCAAACGCATATCATTGTGTTTGATAATCACCATAGTGTATAGCTACTGATTATGGATTTGTTATCTTTTGGTATAAAACAACATCTGACAGGGGGCGTCATCGATGCAAAGGGAAAAAAAAGATGGCTAATTTCATGTTAGGTGCAGCAGCTCTGCTGATTTTCTCTTATTCAGGTATCTGTGTTTTTTCTTCTCGTTAATATAAAGTTACAATGTTTTAACGTGACAATTGGTGCCGCATTAACCTAAAGGCAATTAAGGCACGCGCTTTGGGGTGGGGGGGGGGGCACTCGAGGGATAGTTGTCATGGGATGATGAGAGGAAAGATGATAGAAAGAAATCATTTTACATTTTCAACGTTTGACAAAGGAGTTGGCTGGAATTGTCCACATGGTAATAAAAAACAAGTTTACAATGTTTTAACGTGACAATTGGTGCCGCATTAACCTAAAGGCAATTAAGGCACGCGCTTTGGGGTGGGGGGGGGGGCACTCGAGTGATAGTTGTCATGTGATGATGAGAGGAAAGATGATAGAAAGAAATCATTTTACATTTTCAACGTTTGACAAAGGAGTTGGCTGGAATTGTCCACATGGTAATAAAAAACAAGTTGAAACGGGATAATAAAATTAAAAACAAGGAATTCGCTCGTAAAAAAATTCCAATGCATCGGCACTGCAGGAAAATGATAATTTTGAAGATAAACTGTTAATTCGGTAATTTTATGCAGAAAATCTTGAGTGGCCCCAAAAATTCAACTGCCTAGGGGCCCCCGGACGATTTAGTCCGGCACTGTTTACAATGTTAATTAGTTTCGCATAAACTTTCAGATTAACAGACCCTAATTAGTCACACAAAAATGCATCTGAAAAAATTAAACTTTGTTTAAATAGATTTGATATAATTAAATACACATGTAAGAAATTCTTTTTGAAAATAATAAAGAATGAAACAATTCATAAAATAATTCACAAATACACAATTTTTACAGAATATTTTTTTTAATAAAACAATTAATCGTCAAAATTTTGTCTTAAAAAATCAGCTACCGGACTTCAGTTCGACGTCCAACCCACAAAGATTGAAATAGGTCTTTCTACACGCTTTGACATCGTCTGTTCTTTTAACCATGGAACTGACAATGAGATGTCCAGCTTGGTGTCGCTCATTGTATCCCGCTCTAAGGACACCACAAACGTGGGTTATCGTGAGCTAGCTTCCATCGACGCATTTTCTGGTCGTGTGACTGACTTGGTCCAAGGCAACGCTACCCTTTCCGGTGCCGTCAACAACATGGGGGTGTCCTACCTCAGGCTGGAGTGGAAGTTCCCGGACGACGAGGTGTCGGGTCTCTACAGGTGTGTCGCCAACGGCATTGACGAAACAGGACACCCCATCAGTGTCATGTCCACAAGTCTGGTTACAAGTGAGATCCCGGGTACCAGACAGTTGGTGCAAGTGGTCCGTAATGTCTTGCTCAACATGGACTACGCTTTGGAAAACATGTGTATATCAGGTAGAGAAAAATCTATTTTTAGATGATAAATCTGCATCAATCAGTGTCAAGTAATGTTACTTACCGTATTCCGGTGTTACAAATATAATCTTCTTTAAGATTTATCTCGTTAGATTACTAACACGTAACGGAGAACTGAAAAAAACTATAGACAACGAAAAACGATACCAAAGCAAACAATAGATGATTTAATTATACGGTGCTGTGTGAAAAAGATAACACTAGCCAGGTACAAACATTTGTACACACGCATAATCACAACTCATGTCAGTCTTCTAAAGCTGCAGAAAGTCTTGTAAGTCTCATAAGTCTGACGGTCACAGTCACCGTCGTATTTATTGTGATGAGGTCAGAAATCCACCCAGAACAGAATTTAGAAATTCCATCGTCGCAGAGGATTTCTTGCCTCTACGTAGAAATTCTAAACAAGCGTTCCCAATAAAGGGTGGTTTTGAGGGGGGGGGGGTGGGGGTGGTAGCACGTGTATCCAAGTTATTTTGTGACTTCAGTAACAAACAAAAAAAGTTGGGGGGGCGGGGCGGATGTAAGTGTGTAATGCCACGGTTCCACATGATGCAAGGTGAATAAAACTAGGTCAATTCGCAGAGGATTTCTTGCCTCTACGTAGAAATTCTAAACAAGCGTTCCCAATAAAGGGTGGTTTTGAGGGGGGGGGGGGTGGGGGTGGTAGCACGTGTATCCAAGTTATTTTGCGACTTCAGTAACAAACAAAAAAAGTTGGGGGGGCGGGGCGGATGTAAGTGTGTCATGCCACGGTTCCACATGATGCAAGGTGAATAAAACTAGGTCAACACACACGCTATAACAGACGAGTGTATACTTTCACTTGTAATCTCTAATTTAAAACTGCTTTGAAGTTGTTATCTATTCAATATGTTCAATAGGAAAAAAATAACAAATGACCTGAACTTATGTGTATTTTGGAATTTAACATAAAGATATAAATATATTATTGGCATAGGTTTCTGAAGTAAACATGATTTCAACAATGGGAGTCTGTGGTGACGTAGGCTAGGCAAGTTCATAATAAACCAAAGCTTTCGAAATCTGAAAATCAAATAACTAGATGTAGATGTTTTTTTTTGAGAATCAAACCCGAATAGAAAACTATAAAATTAAATCTTCTCAATAGTCTAAACAATGAGCCAAAACAATTTTTTTTGGAATAGCTTACACGAAAAGATTTAAAGACAAGTGTCTAGTATTTCTTTCCGATCGTAAATGAGATCATCCATCCAAGTGGCATTAGAACCTATTTAGGGCTTTGGCGTTGCTCCCAACTTCCTTCCACTCACACCTCGTCGATCTGTTTTGTCGGAATCAACACTGGTAGTCACCTAAAATTTTTTCAGTATACGTTTTTTTAGTATATGTTACCTTAATTTTGTCAGTGTTTTGTATATTATAATGTGTACGGAAATTCCACTGTAGTATGCCATATTGAAGTTTGGACATTGTCTTGTATATTGGGTTTATTAATGCTGATTACGATTCTTTTGGAATTTTATTCTTTGGTAATTACAGTTTTATGTGTCTGAGTAAGTAATTCTCTTCCTCCATATTTAATGAGTTCCCTATGTATGGGTAAAATTTCTTAAAAAATATAGGTTTTAGTCCTCCATTTGGTGGTTCATATTCTTCATCATGTCCATTCTCATCATTTTAGTAGTCCTAAAAATTTTCACCCCACCTCTCAAGTTCTTTACAATTTTCCGTGATTAATTCTCCATCTCTGCTCGCACACATTTAGGGCATTGGCCTGGCTCACCATGTTCTTCCACTCCGACCTCACATTCATCCATGTGGTGTTACAGATCGTGTAAGCCTTTGGCCTGACTAACCACTTTCCTCTTCACAATAGAAGATCTGACGTGGTATACTTTTTTTTATAGGTACTAAATATTGGATGTCATTTTCGTGTAAGCTCATTATTTTTTGTATGCTTATTTTATCTCTAAACTATTCTAGGATGTTGGCAGAGTCGGTTGGAACAGATGAGAAAAGCGAGGTTTGAAATATCCTCTTTGTACAACGGTCACAGATATCTCTTGTCTAAAACTGCCAACCTTGCCTCCGTGGCTGTGGCCCAAGAATCATGTGAACTCTATGGAGGTTACCTCGCTGAGATTGATGACGACTTCGAGCTGTTATTTGTACAAAACTTTACTAAATCAGCCCCAGGTATCGACTATACCATGGTTTTAATTGGAGGAACAGATTATGGTCACAAAAATCATTGGGTTTTTGATCGCAATCTAAGAAACGTCACCTACACCAAATGGATAGCCGGAAGGCCATCAACTACTGCTAACTATAATTGTATATACCTAGCAGCACCTACTTGGGCAATGTCCGATTATATATGCTTTGAAGTCACAAGAACATATAATACTAGATACATATGCGAGGTGCCTGAGGAATGAAAGCTCAAGAAATTGTGATTTTTAATGTGCATACAAATTTAATTTATCTAATTTACTACATTTTAATTATTTTTTTTAAATCCTATTTTTAATGACAATTTTTTTTTTCAAAAATATTTGTATGTTCTATTTTTGATCAATGGAAACAAAAAATGAATTAGAAACGAGATGAAAAACATTTGTGTCAGAAACTCTTTATGGGGAATCAGAAGCTTTAAAAAAAATGTATTTCCAAATCTACGCTGTCTCTTGTTTATCAAATAAAGGAAGCATCTAGCTAAGTGGTTCTTAACGTGGGTTCGATCGAACCCCAGGGGTTCGGTGAGCCAGTCTCAGGGGTTCGGCGGAGGTCCCCCCCCAAAAAAAAATCAGAAAAAAAAATCATATTTTATTTTTCCTATAAAGAAGGTGTGGGTGAGTGCAGTCCCCTTATATATCATCCCTTATTCTATCCCCAGAAAAGCTTGTCGCATTAATTACATATTTTTTTGATTCAATTGATCTAATGTCTTTTATGCCAATATAAGATTTATAATATAATAATAAATACGATATTATATGTTTTTATGACACCAGAGAAACACGTCTCTCCATGTAAATTTAGAGTGAAGCCTTTAAAAGCCAAATAAAATACAAGATTATAATACTAGCATTTCGTCATTAATTGCCTAATATTTTGATAGTCGTTCTTTATACAGGAATTTATCCCCCCAAAAAACTGGGATAAGTGTGAAAATGTTGACCCTACTTGTCTTATAATAAACTAATGATTAAATTACCAAACAGAATGGAGACGAATGATATATTTTTTGCACACCAGACACATTCAACTAACAGAACTATGACCTAGTTTAATCAAGTAAATCGTGCTCACGAAACTAACTGATATGATAATCTCCAATTGGACTCGATAAGTTAGCATCTCCCAGTAACATACACACTTTAAAACACTTTATCTTCTGGCAGGTGTATTATATTCATATATATTCAGTTTAAGATATACTGATATATTATATGACTATTAAGTAGCGGTAGAACAGACGTAATCTGGTGTTTATGTGTGTTTAGACAAACCAAGTTCATTGAAACATTTGTCTGCTAGTTGCGTTCCCTGTTTACGATTGATACACCTTTATTTCAATGGGTATTTTGTTGTTTTTGTTGTTGATCTGTCTGATTGTACTGTTAAGGTGTCTAAGAAAGGGGTATCGGGAAGGTGTCTGGTGGAGGTGTCTGGTGAAGGTGTCTGGTGAAGGTGTCTGATGAAGGTGTCTGGTGAAAATGTCTGGTAAAGGTGTCTGGTGAAGGAGTCTAGTGAAGTTGTGCATTGAAGGTATCTAGGGAAGGTGTCTAGTGAAGGTGTCTGGTGAAAGTGTCTGGTGAAGGTGTCTGGGGAAGGTGTCTGGTGAAGGTGTCTGGTAAAGTTGTTTGTTGAAGGAGTCTAGTGAAGTTGTGCATTGAAGGTATCTAGGGAAGGTGTCTAGTGAAGGTGTCTGTTGAAGGTGTCTTGTGAAGGTTTCTAGTGAATGTCTCTAGGTAAGGGGTCTCGGGAAGCAGTCACGGAGACATATGCGATATGCCTTAGAGTTGCTGCTACAGGGGTTTGCCGAAGGCTCCCGAGTGAAAGTTTGGGACACGGGAGGGAATAGGATCAACAAGCCTCTCTCCCCCACCGAAATTAAGTTATAAATCTAAAAATGCGTGTAAGCATTTTGGTGTTATTCCTACCAGCGTTGAACACATATTATTAAATAAACGAATTAAAAAAAAAACAAAAGAAAATATTTTCGCAAAAAAAAAGACAGTTTTCTCATAAAAAAATAAATATTTGTTTTTAAATTAAAAAAAAATAGCAAGAAACTATGCAGTTTTCATCATAATACAGCTGGAACTAAATATAAATCAGTAAACTGAAAGTTTCGTTTGGAATTTCAAACACAACTGCTAGAACTTTCTTCAGATAAATTACACATGAAAAAATATATGGCAGTTCTTAAAAAAAAGATATTTGTTGTACTTTAACATATTTTGAGGGTGAAACCCTATAAAGGGTGAGTTCTTACAGAAAGATGAGAACCTACGGAAAGAAGAGGCCCTATAAAAGGTTGAGGTCCTATTGAAGGGTGAGACCCTATAGACGTGTGAGGTGCTTTAGTAAGATGAGGTGCTATAAATGCGTGACCTGCTATAGAAGGCTGAGGCACTCTAGAGGGCTGAGGCGCTATAGAAGACTGAGGCGCTATGAAAGGTGAGGCGTTATAGAAGCGAGAGATGTCATAGAAGGCTGAGTCACTATAAATAAATTGTCGCATTAAAGAAGGGCGAGCTGCTAAAGAAGGCTGATGCGCTATAGAAGGCTGATATGCTATCGAAGGCTGAGGCGCTATAGAAGGCTGAGGTGCTATAGAAGACTGAGATGCTATGAAAGGCTGTGGCGCTAAAGAAGGCTGATATGCTATCGAAGGCTGAGGCGCTATAGAAGGCTGAGGCGCTATAGAAGACTGAGATGCTATGAAAGGCTGTGGCGCTAAAGAAGGCTGATATGCTATCGAAGGCTGAGGCGCTATAGAAGACTGAGATGCTATGAAAGGCTGTGGCGCTAAAGAAGGCTGATATGCTATCGAAGGCTGAGGCGCTATAGAAGGCTGAGGCGCTATGAAAGGCTGTGGCGCTATAGAAGGCTGAGGCGCTATAGAAGGCTGAGATGCTATGAAAGGCTGTGGCGCTATAGAAGACTGAGATGCTATGAAAGGCTGTGGCGCTAAAGAAGGCTGATATGCTATCGAAGGCTGAGGCGCTATAGAAGACTGAGATGCTATGAAAGGCTGTGGCGCTAAAGAAGGCTGATATGCTATCGAAGGCTGAGGCGCTATAGAAGGCTGAGGCGCTATGAAAGGCTGTGGCGCTATAGAAGGCCGATATGCTATCGAAGGCTGAGGCACTATAGAAAGGTGCGGCGTTAAAGACAGCGTGAGGCGCTATAAAATGATGAGGCCCGAAAGAACAGTGATGCCCTATAAAATAGTGAGGTGCTATAAATGGATGAGGTGCTATAGATGGGTGGGGCGCTATAGATCGGTGAAGTTCTATAGATGGGTGAGGCCCTATAGAAAGATGAGACGCTATGAAAGGGCAAGCTGCTTCAGAAGAGTGAGGCGGTATAGAAAGGTGAGGCTCTATATAAAGGACAAGGTGCTATAGAAAGTTGAGGTTTTTTACAGAAAGAGGAGGTGCTGTATAACTGTAAAGCTCCATAGAAGTGTGAGGCGCTAGAACACTGTCTAGTTTGATGATGCCTGAAGACGGCACTTCTTATAGCAGCGGTGTTCATTTGTTCGTCTTTTGCCGAGGTTTTGAAATCCAACCTTATTGTTTGTGTGCTATCTTAAGATGTTGACACTCAGCCACACGTCCATCTTCCCTGAGGAATTTTGTCTTCCTAGCTATATGTATTATATGTCTCGACCTGGGATGGCTCTGGATAAACAGATTACAAAATGCAAAGGTTGGAAATGTTTGCCCCCCCCCCCACCTTACTTTTACAATATGGTTAAGTCTTTTAGGGAAAGAAATTATGCTCTATTAACTAAACTTAACTAGTTTTTAGCTTTGATTATATTACATGTATGTGCACGCCCCCTTCGATCACAGTCAGATAACATTGATATCTTGTTATATATACAATCTTTACCGTAACAGTGGGCAGTTTCTTTTCCGTAAGAAGACAATGATGGAAACTTTATTGTTGATTTCGATGACGTTACTTCTTTTTGCCTCTAAGGGTATGTATTTAAAATATAGTAGGTTTCAAATGACACGTTTGAACTAAAAGCCAACAAATTCATTTTTGTTTGTGTGTGTTTTGTGGAAATTCGTATGTATTATCACGCGATACCAGTATATCAAACTATATTTCAACTATGTTTGGTTTTTCCGAAGCTAAGATTCAATGTTCGTGGATGATGCAAAAATTTCGACATCCTAAGGACCCCCGGGGGCCTTAGTCAGGCAATTTTTACAATATTTTTTAGGTTTCCATACACTTAGAAATAATTTCGACAAGAAAAAGTCGAAATAATAAAAAAAATCAGCCAAAAAAAAAAAAAAAAAAAAAAAAAAAAAAAAAAAAAAAAAAAAAAAAAAAAAAAAATAAAGAAAAAATTGATAAAAAAAAAAAGAAAAAAAAAAAAAAAAAAAACCAAAAAAAAAAAAAAAAAAAAAAAAAAAAAAAAAAATTATTACAAAAAAAGTAATTGCATTTCATGTTCTTCGTTTTTGAAAAAAACAAACAGCAACCGGACTTCAGTTCAACGTCCAACCGACTAAGATTGAAATAGGTCTCTCTACTCGCTTTGACATCGTCTGTTCTTTCAACCACGGAACTGACAATGAGTTGTCCAGCTTGGTTTCGCTCATTGTATCTCGCTCAAAAAACACAACATATGAGGATTATCGCGAGCTAGCTTCCGTTGATGCGCTGTCTGGCCACGTGACGGTCATGGTGCAGAGCAACGCAACCATTTCCGGTGCCATCAACAACCGCGGTGTGTCCTATCTCAAGATGGAGTGGAAATTTCCGGACGACGAGGTGTCGGGTCTCTACAAATGTCTCGCCAATGGCGTAGACGGAAGTGGACATCCCATAGGTGTCGTGTCTACAAATCAGGTTACAAGTGAGATACCGGATGTCAGACAGTTAGTAAACGTGGTCCACGATGTCTTGATTAACATGGACTCCGCTTTAGGAAACATGTGTATATCAGGTATGTAATAGTGTATGAAAAATAAAATATATGATAAATCAGAACCAATTGGTACAGATGACGTAAGTACTTTTGCTAGTAATATTACATTAAAAATATTTTAAAGGTGATTCTCTACTCCATAATATCGGCTAGGAAAAATTAACAAATTACCTAAGGTTAATATGAATTTTTAATTTAATATAAATGTTTAATTATTTGTGGGGCTACAGCATATGTCTTTGTCCAGCCTCATCATCATTTTTTTTCAATATAGACGACCACCTCTTCCTGTGTCGCAACAGCTCTAAAAAAGCTTTAGTCTGCCTCGCAACTTCCTTTCACTCCGAACTCCCATCCATCCTTGTTTCGCTACAGCCCGTTTAGAGATTTAGCCTCACTCACCTCTTCCTTACACTTATTCCTTTCATCTCTAACTGTGTCGCTACAGCCCGTTTAGGGCTTTGGCCTGCCTCACCACTTTCTTCTACTCCTACCTCCCAACAATCACACATGTTGCTACAGTCCGTTTAGGGATTTAGCCTACATCACAACTTTCTTTCTTTAATTCCTTCCACCCTTAAGTGTGTAGCCTCATCCCTTATAGAGCTTTGGCCTGCCTCACCACTTCCTTCCACTCAGACCTTCTATCCATCCCTGTGTAGCCACATCCCTTATTGAGCTTTGACCTGCCTAACCACTTCCTTCAACTCAAACTTCCCATCAAACCTTGTGTAGCCACATTCCGTAAAGAGCATTGATCTGCCTAACCACTTGCTTCCACTCAATTCTCCCATCCTCTCTTATGTAGCCACAGCTCGTATAGAGCTATGGCCTGCCACACCGCTTCCTTCCAGTCAGACAATATTGATGTTTCTTCTTTCCATGCTTCGATTCCATGATGCTGTACATATTTTTTCCAAATCGTTAAGAAATTGAAGTCAAAGTTTATGTGTCTTGGTGTGTTGTTCCATTCCTCCATATTTGATAAGTTCTGCCGTGATGAGATTTTCTCCATGGGCTTGTGGTTTATCAGAGTTCATTGCTTCCTTAGTTTCTTCCAAAATTGGGGTCTGGGGGTTATTAAAGCTTCTGGTTCTACATAATGTGGTTAAATATCATTGTCTCGTCTATTGGCTGCAATAAGTTTTCCCTACAAATATCCAGCCCACCACTCCAATACGTGACTTTTTCCATAATTAGTTCTCCACCTTTCCTCTACCCCATTTGTGGTCTGGCGTGGCATACATTATTTGTTTTACACGTATGAGGTATACGATGTTATGTCCATTAAAGCTCATAACTTTTATGTATGTTTATTATGTCTCTCATCTATTGCAGGATGTTGGCAGAGCCGGTTGGAACAGATGAGGAAAGCGAGGTTTGTAATATCCTCTTTGTACAATGGCCACAGATATCTCTTGTCTAAAACTGCCAGCCTTGCCTCCGTTGCTGTGGCCCAAGAGTCGTGCGAACTCTATGGAGGTTACCTCGCTGAGATTTATGACGATTTTGAGCTGTTATTTATACAAAACTTTATCAAATCACCCCCAGGAATCGACTATACCATGGTTTTAATTGGAGGAACCGATTATGGTCACAAGAATCATTGGGTTTACGATCGCAATCAAAGAAACGTCACATACACTAAATGGATTCCCGGGAAGCCATCAACTACTGCTAACTATAACTGCTTGTACCTAGCAGCACCTACATGGGCGATGTCCAACTATATATGTTTTGAAGTCACAAGAACATATAATACCAGATACCTCTGTGAGGTACCCGAGGAATGAAAGCTCAAGAAATCAAGCATTGGAAAGTCTATACATTGTTCTCCTTTCCTTAAATATATAACTTGACATTAAAATGACTTAGAAAATCATTTTTGATTTAGTCTCAATAGATATTATTTTTTAAAGTCAAGATTGTACGTATTATTGAGCACACAAAAAACTTTTAAATTAATTGTGATGTAAAAGAAAAATAAATACTATTATTTTTTACAGTATGTGCCAAAATTAAATGTGCTGAAATTTCCGCACCTTGAACGCGTCACATCCATTTGATTTGTCATCCGTGCACATCTCTGGACGATACGTGTTCTTATGGGTTGTGATTACGTGTTATTGTGTAGTTGTGTTTATTGAAACGAGTCTTTCAAAGCCGAAAAAACGCATAGATGAGTTATCTCTTACTTCAGTGGCCTTGAAGGGGAACACGTTTGGTGGCACTTCCGAGACATTATTAATACAACGGAGCCAATTAACACGTTTATGCTGTCTATTGTTGTAAAATTTCGATCTTCTGATATTCAAAGGTAGAGGACAAATTTTCACATACATTCCTATAGCATTTTGAATCCATGATCAAAAGAAAAACTGTACCAAAGTAAATAATCCTGGCTCTCATAATAACTTCCTATAATGTGTTCCTTTTTTCCCCCTATTATGAAGACATGGCGGCTGGAATTATGCAACGTAAGACAACCACAGTGTGTGCTGAAGAGGCGGGAGTGTCCGTGTTTGTCATTACTGTATGTTCTCATTGTAAGTGAACATTGGTGCTTTGATTTCTAGCAAAATTTGTAACCGCTGTATTTTTAGGGTTTTCCTCTTAGTGGTTAATGACAAACAATATTTTTTTGTGTTCAAATTTAATTTGAAATATATTTTTTTTTTAAAAAGGAAGAAAAAAAATATGATGTGCTACAAAACAAGAGACAGCAATGAATTAGATATGAATTTAAAAAAACATATAATTTGTCAATAGTATTCTATGTTGGAAACTGAAGCTTTTTTAATTCATTCGTAAATCTATCCAGTGTCTTTAGTGTCACATGAAGGAGGCATCTCTATATGAAGGATGCATCTGTAGCTAAAGGGGGCATTTCAAGCTGAAAAAGGCATATCTGGCTAATCTAGCATCTCTTTCTAAAGGTGGCATCACTAGCTAAGAAGGCATCTGTACCTGAAGCAGGCATCTCAAGCTAAAGAAGGCATCTCTAGTTAAGGAGGCAACTACCTAAAGGACTCACCCAGCTGATTGGGGTATCTTGCCAAAGGAGGCATCTCTAGCTTAAGGAGATACCTGTAAATGAAGGAGTCATCTCTAGCTGAAGGCGCATCTCTAACTGAAGGAGGCATGTCTAGCTGAAGCAGGCATCTCTTGCTGTAGGCGGCATCTCTAGATGAAGGGGGTCATCTAGCTGAAATTTTCTTTTATTATCTTATTTCTGTTCAATCCTTATTTTTGTTCTAGTCCCACTGTTTTCTCGACACGGCTTGAACTCAGACCTAGCACCCTTTATTTTTCCCCCGACCAGCATTTGAAAATAGTCAATGGTGTTACATTATTATTATTTTTTTTAAAAAATCAATTGATCTACTGTACTTTCTGTCAATTCTAGCAGATATTATACGCCTTTATTGTTTACGAGACACACATCCAAACAAGTAATTTTAGGGTGAAATGTTCAAAGATCCAAGATTATTAATTCTGTGTTTGTTCATTAATTGCTTTTATTTTAAACTAATGTTATTTATAATAAAGTTTCTAAAAAAATTTGAAAAGTGTGAAAAATGTCTCTCTAGCTCTCTTATAAAAAACTAATAATGAAATTATCAAACAGAAACGAGATAAATGATGTATTTAGCAAACCAGACACAGTAAACAAACAGAACTATGGACTTAGTTAATCAATTAAAATATGTTCTCAAATCTAACTGATAAGTTAAATCTCCATCTGAATACGATAAGCTAGCGTCTACCAGTTCAATAAAAAAAAAATCTATTGATACATCTCAGTCTAAGATATATTGAAATGTGATATGATTTTTAGTTTATGTAAAACAGACATAATCTGTTTATATATATATATTTTTAAATTTTATTTTTTAACGTACCTAGTTCTTTAAAACAATAATCTACTAGTAGTGCTCAATGATTTACGATTGAGACATTGATTTCAGTAGGGAATGTGTGGGTGTTGTTCTGTATGATACCGCTGAGATATTTCAAGAAGATGTCTCGGGAAGGTGTCTCAGGAAGATATCTAGGGATGATATCTCGGGAAGATATTTCAGGAAGATGTCTAGGGAAGATATCTCGGGAAGAGGACTCGGCAAGATGTCTCGGAAGATGACTTTGGAAGGTGTCTCATGAAGGTGTCTCGGAAAGATGTGTCGGGAAGATGTCTCGGGAATATGTTTCGGGAAGATATCTCGGCGAAGTTTGCGATCTGCCTCATATTTTGCGAAAAATCTCATCTCTCTCTTTATGTTTTCTTGGGGAGCCAGAATTATCAATTCATTGATCGTGGGCCCTCAGAATAAAGAGGAAGAAGATCGTTAAGCAGCTTACAATCAGAGTTAATTTTGAAGATGTACTTATCGTTGAAGATGTACTTATCGTTGAAGATGTACTTATCTTTGAAGATGTACTTATCGTTGAAGATGTACTTATCGTTGAAGATGTACTTATCGTTGAAGATGTACTTATCTTTGATTTGTACTTATCTTTGAAGATGTACTTATCTCTGAAGATGTACTTATCTTTGAAGATGTACTTATCTATGAAGATGTACTTATCTCTGAAGATGTACTTATCTCTGAAGATGTACTTATCTTTGAAGATGTACTTATCTTTGAAGATGTACTTATTTTTGAAGATGTGCCTATGTGTTGAAGAGTAACCATCCAAGGTTGGACAAGATCCAGCAAACCAGAGTCAGGGTCGACTTAACGGGAAAGGGGGTCACAGGCCCAACAACTCCGCTATAAACGTTTGAAGTATTTTTAGAAATGTATTCGAAGCCGTGGAAGGATCTAACACCATTATCAGGTGTTTTTTTTTATTTTTTATTTCCAGATAATTTTATCGGGCTGGTGGGGGGCGCGGGGCAGGCAAGATTAAGGCTGTACCAATGAAAAAAATAGGTGTGATGATACCAGCGCTCAGCTCACCCCATCAGATCAAATAAATAATTTTCATTCTGGTTGTGGCTCCTTTTAGGGTATCCTTCTGGCCTCAGCAAAGTTTCGCCCCTGGAATCTACACAATTCAACAACATCGACAGTGCGAAAGAAAAAAAAAATCATATTGTTTTCAGTTCAAGTTCAAGAAAATAATTTTAATCACTACATTCCCTTGTCTTTTGTACATAAAAAAAATGAGCAATTACTATCATTTTAATCGAAGAGTTATCAGAAATCTAGGCCACTTAAGGCTACCGAATGAAAGTGGTGTGGGGGGGGGTAGGGTATGTGAAATAGGGCTCATCAAGTCTATTCCCGGAAATTTTTTTACTATATCAAAATGCAGATTAGCATTTTGGTCTTTAGTCTAACAGAATTCAACATTTATTTATTAATAAAATAATTGTCTGAAAACATTCCCACACAAACATACCAACAAACCCCTACCCCCCCCCCCCCCCCCCATGCTTTCATCATTATACATTTTGAACTCAAATGAAAACATATGTTATAGAAATTTCATTAGGGAAATTTAATCAATAAGAAACATAAATGAGACCTGTTGTAAAAATATTTGAAATAATTTAAGAAAAGTGTCTCTAAAAACCAAATATATCTTTATAAATGACGATTTAGTAATCAAAAGAAAAAAAAAATTTTTTTTTTTAAAATTGCGCCCCCTCCAGCTTTAAATCGAATTAAATTGCCAAAATATCTTTCCATATCTTTTAACAAGACTGTACTATTATTAAAAACTAAGATCAATACCTATTGTACAAAGACCCACCCATAGTCGCAACAACAAAAAAGACAAACAGCGCTGGACAGGAATTATTGAAAGGATACCGGATTGTAGAGCAGCATAAATGATGTACAGGCAGAAACCTAGGGGCAGCCGTCTCACCGGTCGGCCAAGACTGAGATGGATGGACGATGTAGAGAAGGATTTACACCAGTTGGGCATTCGCGTATGGAGGCGGAAAGTCATGCATCGATCCATATGGTAGGATACGGTGGAGCAAGCCAGAGCCCTACATGGACTGTAGCGCCACTGATGATGCTGATAATGTAACGTTTACAATATTGGCTGTATTATTCCCCTTGAAGCGCGAGTCCCTATAGCAGAGTGAGTCGCTTGACATTTTGCCCATGCCCTTAAGAGGACACTTCCCAGAATACCAGTTTTGATTTATTTGTCTCATTATTGCTAAGGTTTGAAACCCAACCTCCTTTTTTGCACGCTATCTCAAGATGTAGACACTGGGCCATCCGGTCATCCTTCAATACGTATTTTTAAAAAAAATAGAATAATTTTTGTTTAAGTTTATTTGTATTTTCCTCTTTATATGTCTCGACCTGCGGTTGCTGGGGGTTAACAGCTTACGAAATAAAATTTGTGAATATATGGGTCCACCCCCCCCCCCAATTATATTTTAGCGACATAATTAAGTTAGTCTCATTTAAAGAAATTATACTCTACTAGTTAACTTAACTTTTGAACTGATTATATCGCAATCACTGTACCCGCCCCCTTTATGTTTATAGTCAGATAACAGAGACCGATATCTTGATATATATTCAATGTTAACCGTAACAGTGGACAGTTTTTTTTTCTCCATTAGAAGACAACGATGGGCACTTTAATGTTAGGTACGATGGTGTTGCTGCTGTCTTCTTCCGGAGGTATGTTTTTAAAAATAGTATGTTTCAAATGGTACACATTTAAGAACGGTTAGAAATAAATACATTTCTTTAACATTGGACGTGTTAGGGGTATAGCATGTGTGTCAGATTACAACAAAGCTTACTGTAGCTTAGAAAGAGTTTGCGACTTCGCCGGTCAGCATTTCTTTACAAAATATGTTATATTTAGAGGAGGCACATTTCGAAAAACTTTCGACACTGTTCATGGAAAGGGTGGGTGTGTATCTAAATGTTTGGCTCGCGATCTGGTGGCTCCATCCATTGCTCCGCCAAATATTGTTAAACATGGTATCATAAAAACTTAAACTAAAAAAAAAAATCAGTTTATCTACCTATTTATTCTAATTAGACACCAAGACAGACAAAAATATCCAGTAGTTTTAGAGAAAACTCAGATCAAATGGACGACTATGGCTGCTAGCGTCTAATACAAGGTAAATATTATAGTCCACATTAAACCACTGGCACCCTCTGGCTCCCCCAGAGGCAGTTGGGCAGCTTAGGGCTAGTGATGGCTGGGGCGGGCCAGGACTTTTGCCTCCCGAAGAAATAACTCCGTAATTGTGGAGAATGATGGCGAAATATACATATACAAAGCGCCAGCTGCCTATTCAACACAACGTTAGCCAGTGCTTCTGGACTTCTAATCCAGATACGTAGTTAAGGGTGAGCAGTGGTCCGCCCCCAGATGGCAATCTCCTCTTGATTTTGAGGGTCGGGTATTTCGGCCAACCGCAAATCTTTTGTCCTATAAGGGGAGTGAGGGCGTCGAAAATATAAACCACCCCCGTGCGCTCCACTCCTAACGCCGCCACTGGTTTGTCCATCTCTACCAAAAAATAAAATAATTCTCAACAAATACATATATTGTATTTTGATAAAGTTTACAAGTATATTCTTAGATGCCACTATGTTACTATGTTAAACAATATTTAACAGTATTCACATATATATATATATATATATATATATATATATCTATATATATATATATATATATATATTTATATATATATTTTTCTTTTATAAATATATATTTATATACCAATATTTTTATATATTAAAAAATATATATAAATATATACATATATATATATATATATATATATATATATATCTATATATATATATATATATATATATTACTAAATACATTTGTCTTTTGAATCTTACAGTTTCTGGACTCCAATTCAGCGCACAGCCAAACAATCTAGTCATTGGAATTACGCCTCAATTAGACATAAAATGCTCTTTCAATTTGGGAACGGACCCTCAAGTGTCCACTTTGGTCTCGCTCTTCATATCACGCTCCATCGACCCGGAAAACATTGCGTTCCAAGAGATTGCGTCAATCAACACATTTTCTGGCCATCTTGTCGACATCAGCCACGGCAACGCGAGCGTTTCCGGCGTCATCAACAACGGCAGCGGAGAATCTTTCATCTCCATGCAATGGAGGTTCCCAGGACAGCAGGAGACGGGGCTCTACAAGTGTGTGGCCAACGGCGTGGACGCTGCTGGACACCCTCTGAGCGTGACGTCGACAAGCGAAGTTACCAGTGAACAGCCCAGCATCGGTACGATGATAGAGGCGATCCGTGTTCTCAATATCAAAGCGAGTCATGCTCTGGACAACATTTGCATATCAGGTATTCTCAAATGATACTAACAAGTCATATTATACACCGTCTTAACAGAAGGGTCTTATTACAACTCTTTCTTGCTAATCACATTCAAAATAATTCCGTAACATATTTCCAATGACCCTTGGAACCGATTACCTCAATATCAAATATGGCTATTTTGAACGGTTTGAATGTACATATTTGAACTTTTTCATAACATTAAACGATAAGGCTGTTAAAGCTTTTTTTTTTGTTGAGATATATTATTATTTTTACAGTTATATAAAGAAGAAAAGTTTTGTTTTCTTTTTACTTTTGAAAGTTTTTGTGTGTGTTGTTGCCGTTGCTTTTTTTTACAATGAAAAATTTAAACATCTATTGGCATTGGTCACTCTTATTTTCAGGTATTAAAAGGTCATTATTTATTAAAGTTATAGAACACATTAAATAATTCTTCTGTGGGGTACGTCCCTTTTTTTTGTTTTTTGTTAAACAGAGTAGCTTGCCCTTGGACTCCGACTTCTTTTTTTTGCTCAAATTGGCTTGGTTTCAAAATCAGGTTTCTTTTTTCTCAACTCGATGTCAATATGTGGAGCAAGCTAATTAAAACAGACCCAATATTATAGATATTAAAACATTTTCCTTTTAAATTTTACTCTGATCAATTTCTCTCCTTTTGACTGACGGTATCTTCATCCAATCCATGTTTACTTACTTAAATCATGACAAACAGAAATTATATGGAAACGGAACTTATATTACTTTGTCCTTTTTTATCTCCAAAATTTAATCGTTTTTTTTTTCGTGTTCGCACCCCACTGGACGTACATTTAGGTCTTGACATATTTGTATCATTAAAATGTACACAAGAGAATTAATTTTTTTTTTTTTTAAAGTGTCTAAAGGGCGGCATTCCCCTTGCTTGAATTACTTCGCTCGTGCCCTTGATCTGTGCTTGTGTTTTCTTCAAATCCATTATTTATTCAATTTAAGTGAATTTAAATAACTATTTAGGAAGAATTATCGTTGCTCTAATTATTCTTGCTTTCGTCTTTCGTTTAGTCCAGTGGTCGGCAAACTCATTAGTCAAAAGTAGGCCAGAGGTCGGCAAACTCATGAGTCAAAAGTAGTCCAGTGGTCGGCAAACTCATAAGTCAAAAGTAGGCCAGTGGTCGGAAAACTCATGAGTCAAAAGTAGTCCAGTGGTCGGCAAACTCATTAGTCAAAAGTAGGCCAGAGGTCGGCAAACTCATTAGTCAAAAGTAGTCCAGTGGTCGGAAAACTCATGAGTCAAAAGTAGTCCAGTGGTCGGAAAACTCATTAGTCAAAAGTAGGCCAGAGGTCGGCAAACTCATGAGTCAAAAGTAGTCCAGTGGTCGGCAAACTCATGAGTCAAAAGTAGTCCAGTGGTCGCCAAACTCATTAGTCAAAAGTAGGCCAGAGGTTGGCAAACTCATGAGTCAAAAGTAGGCCAGAGGTCGGCAAACTCATGAGTCAAAAGTAGTCCAGTGGTCGGCAAACTCATGAGTCAAAAGTAGGCCAGAGGTCGGCAAACTCATTAGTCAAAAGTAGTCCAGTGGTCGGCAAACTCATGAGTCAAAAGTAGTCCAGTGGTCGGCAAACTCATGAGTCAAAAGTAGTCCAGTGGTCGGAAAACTCATTAGTCAAAAGAGACAAAAAATCAGCAGCAGAACGATTATAATTTATTTATTTAAAAAAAAAAAATTTTTTTGAGAGCCAAATTTATTTGAAAGAACCTGTCAAGAACCATATTTTTCGGATTGAAAACGATTTGCGGCAGACTGGCCGATCCGCACTAAGGTCGCTAAAGAGCGCATCCGGATCGCGAGCCGCAATTTACCGACCACTGGTTTAGTCATATCGGACGAAATTTTGTTCCTATAGAAACATGTGGAAAGTATCCAATATTTTTTTTGTTTAAATATACCCGGGCAACGGTCTGGAAACTTGAGACGGATGTAAAGTAAAAAAAAAAATAATGGAAAGTGCTATCAAATATTCGTTTTTAATTGTTTACAATTCGCATTGACTACCATGATCTTATAAAATGCCATGTATCATACAGACTTTAAATTGATTTTTTTTGTGTAACTTAGCTTGCTGCTTATTGAAAATGTGCGCCAATCAATAACTGCAATCTTTAACTCATACAATTTTGGACCGCATGGCTAAGACAACTGATTTGATATCAAGCTAAGTTTTTCCAACACTATTAATTTAGACACACCTTGTTATAATAATAATTTTACTGCCCCTCCCCCCCCCCCTTCCCCCCCCCCCCCCGCCCCACTCTCAATTTTTCTTTCAGATTGCTGGCAGACCCGTCTAGATCAGATGAGTCACGCAAGATTTGATGTGTCAAATGTCTACAAAGGGCGGAGATATCTTTTGTCCAAATTCGATCGTGGGGTTTCTTCTCCGTTGGCGGAGGAGTCGTGCGAACTGTACGGCGGTTATTTGGCCGAGTTTGACGACAACGACGAACTACTTTTCGTGCAAGGCTTCCTGAGGGCGAACAGCGTCGCGGGTTATAAAATGGTCAGGGTCGGGGGCACGGACGAGGGCCACGAGGGCACCTGGGTGTACCAGCGAAACAACAAGCCGATGGCCTTTACGAAATGGATGCCTGGGGAGCCCGACGGAATACCCTTGGACGACTGCGTGTACCTGTGGTCCGACCACGAATGGCTGATGGACGATAGCAGGTGTAGTTTTTATGATTCCAATTACAATCCACGGTACCTGTGCGAGGTACCAGTGTAGAGGAGAGAGTGAATAATATCTGTCATGTTTGTGCAATGCATCAATAAAAGTTCAATTGATCGCATGCGTTGTGGAATCTTAATTTTAACATTATATAATCGTCTTTTAATGCTTACAATGAAATGCAGATTAAATTGATCGCGGTGTTATGTAAATGGCATGGTGTTTCGTGAAATGGCAATTTTGTCAATTTTGAAGTTTTCAAGATTTTGACTGATTTTAGCCGGTTATGTGTCTTTGTGTGACATGAGCCGATTATTGTCAGACTGACATCAGCCGTTCATCGTCTTTGACTGAAGTGTGCAGTAAATTGTGTTTGACTTGCATGAGCCATATAGTGTCTTTGATGTCGCAGTCAGATAGCGTGATACGGTTCTTCTGTGTCATGTCGCAATGTTTGTGACATTACGCGACTGAACGATGTTATATTTCTCCTATTGCTTGTTCCCCTTTCATCACGAATTGAACTCAGCCACCCATGACCGCCGCCCATGACCGCCGCCCACGACCGCATCCCATGACCGATACCGACAACAGCGACTTATGACCGCGACTAAATGTTGATTAAAACCCATTGTATAAAATTTCGGAATATTTTTATTTTTGAGTAAGAATGAATATTATTTTTCGATATAGGAGTGAATATATATTTTGGATAGATAATTATTACATTTTTTCCAGGAGTTCTGTTGCTGTATTGTTTGTGATAGAAGTTGTAGGTCTTTTGGGCACCTCTGTTTCATTCTGAACAAAAGTTATTATTTATTTTACACTTTAACTGTCGTGTAGACGAACCCTGTAAATAAATGAACCTGAAACTTTTCTCCGCTGTTTGGAGTTGTTTGAATCATACAACACACCAGCTCTGCATGGGCTAAGAGGTCATACAACACACCAGCTCTGCATGGGCTACCAGAAAAGGAAATGTTTGCATCTGTGGCCGATAACGAAGGGGTCCCAAACTCCATACAAAGCAATAAATACCACACTTGACTGGCATGAGCCGGTTATTGAGTCGAGAGTAGATAAACAAATGTGAGAAAAAGTAACATTAAATCGAATGAAAGCGGTCCCATCATGTTTCACTTTTATCACATAGGATATATATATATATATATATATATATATATATATAGATATATATATTGAGAACCGCCGATGACCACAAAAAATATATATATATATATATATATATATATATATATATATATATATATATATATATTTATAACATAAAATATATATATATATATATATATATATATAAATATATATATATTTATAGAGAACCGCCGATGAAAACAAAAAATATATATATATATATATATATATATATATATATATATATATATATCAGAATACGTAATTCTCTGTGTAATAGTGTCAGTAACACTACCAGATGACGCTAAATTGACTAAATAAAAATTCCCGGTAACTGCCCTTGAACGAGATTCTTCAAAATACCGTCAGTGCGTTTGATGTGTGATATTTTCTTTTGTGTTTACAGAAATAGTTGGTGTAATAAATCTATGGTGTAAAAGGGGAAGGGGTGGAACATTAAATGTATAATATAGTTCTAGGGATGCGCCGAACACGAGGAGGGGGGACGCACACATACAAAATCAAAGGAAGTCTGAGCAGAAAACATATTACAAAATTTAAAAAATAATACATTTTTAAGTTTTTAATCAATTATTTTTAGAACTATTTGGTTAACAAAGAGCGCAAATATACATTTCTGCTCCATCTATCTTTTTACAGTGCACTTAAAGAAATGTATAACTACTTTCTAATTTTTTTTAATGCGTTTGATAGAAAGTAATTTTTTTTTTTAATTTAAACATATTTTGTAGCTTTTGTTCTTTTTGAACAAAATGTTTAACGTAAATTAAATAATATCAACTTAAAAATTACTTGAAATTCGCATCCAACCCAACAAAAACCATCAGAATGACCGAAACACACAGTCCGTCTGTCAGCACTCTCCCATAACTCTCCCAGTAAAAGAGCTGGTCCTCTTTCTAATTTAATTAATTACAATAATTTACTGTAAGCGATGGGTGGCAAATAGTGTACCTCTGATCGTACGATGATAGGAGCACCACATGGACATAGATTGAAGTTTGATGTCAGATTCAGTGAGTAAGGCCAGGGACAATACAAAAAGCAACGCCAACTGGATTAATAACACATATTTTAAGCAAAATAGCAAAACAATGTTTTTCAAAGACTTATATTTAAATACTGTTTTTCGAAATTCGCTGTTCATAAATTATTTAAAGGGCTTGCTTTTTAAATTGAGTTGTTAAAAGTTAAGCATCCACTAACATTTCACAGATGTATCTCATCGGCCAACTTTTGCTGTCCATCAGACACTCGACGTTGGTCATGTTCCAGTCGAACCACTCCCACATGTTCAAACAGTTGGCCGCCATCTCCAGGCGGGGGTACCCGTACGCCCAGTTGAAGTACTCCAACGACTTATTGTTATGCGGGTACACCCAGTTGTCGGGCTCGCCGTATTGAGAACCGCCGATGACCACAAATACGAACCCGGTGTAGTTCTGTATGAACTCCTTGATGAACTCGAACTCCTCCTCGTCGCCGATTTCAGCGAGGTTCCCACCAAACTCCTCACAACTGGCTTGGGCCAGAGCGTTCATGACGATTGGGTCTTCTTTGGAGAGGTAATATCTTGAGCCACGAAAGGCTGGAGATTCCTCGAACAACGATTTCCTTCTAGCTTCCAGCCGCTGTTCCCATGTCTCAGCCAACGCCACGAACTGATCCCTTAGAACCACGAGTTCCGAACTCAACTGTTTGACGTATTTCTTTAATGTAATTAGGACATCTGTCAAGACAGTGGTGTCCGCGATCCCTTCAGTGACATTTGTCGTGGCCGTGGCGGAAACGGGGACTCCGACTTGATCCAGGCCCTGGGCGTCACATTTGTACGTTCCCGTCCTAACGCTGCCGGGAGTGTCCCAGGACACGCGGAGGAACGACACGCCGGCGTTGTCGATGAGGCCGGTGACGCTGCCATCGCTCGGGTCGGAAGAGTTCCCAACGCCGTTGAAACTGTTGACGGTGCCAAGCGCCTGAAACTGGGGGCTGGCCGAGTCCTGGGAGAAGGACAGCGTCAGCGTGACGAGGGACGCCATCGTCGGATCTGTTCCGGCCGCGACCGAGCAGTTGACACCCAGGCTGTCAGTGAGGCCAACCTGCACAGTGGCAGGGACGGCTACGAGTGTCAGGCTTTGCCCTAAAGATGAATTACATATCATATTAATAATACTATATCACCATATTTTAAGTCTGCAAGGCAACTTGAAAATTTTTTTTGTTGCACGTATGCTGGAAATAATTCCATTACCTTTTAAATTACTTTAATTAAAGAAAAAAATAAAATGTTGATAAATTAGAGGATATCGTAAAATTTAAATTAATCAGAATTTTCTTGTTTAAATTTATTTTTCAAATTTAAGTTAATTTGCAAGATCACAAGCTTATCGAATTGAAATAATACCAATAATGATTTAAAGTGCATTTCAATATATATATATATATGTATATATATATATATATATATATATATATATATATATATATATATACATATATATATATAAATTTGAAAATGATGACACTCTAAAAAAATTATCACTATTCAGATGTGGAAAGTATCTTACCCGTCGCCATTATTGCAAACAATAGAACAACCTGTAACAGGATGACTGTCATTGTTGTAAGAATCAATTTCAGCTTGTAAGAAAATGGGGCCTAAAAATTATCCGCCTTTATATGCTTTAAAATGTAATCTTATCATCTCTCCCCCTCACCTCCTTATTCAACACATGCCTCTCTGCTGGTGTCACGCTGTCAAAGTCCTCGAGGAAGTCCTTAAGTGTTTAGATAACACAGGCCCAGATTTGACTGTCTATCCACCTTTTTTTTTAGTTAATTAGACTTTTTCTTAAGTCAATGAGACTTTTTCTTAAGTCAATGAGACTTTTTCTTAAGTCAATGAGACTTTTCGTTAGTCAATGAGACTTTTTCATAAGTCAATGACACTTTCTTAACGCCGTCTGTATTTCTCAACGCGCTTTTGCGAGATGGGTATTTCTTTGGGGCCATTTAAAAAAAAATGTTGCGGCAAAAGTGCAGTTCATAGAGATTTGACTTTAAAGAAAAATAATGGAGAAAAAAAGCTTGCGGATGTTGGGGGAGGAGTGGAGGTGTCTTACCATCAAATGCAAGAGCCATCGAGATAGGGCTGTGATACATTAAGTCCAACATTGCAGCCCCTATTATTGAAATTGCACACTTGTGCGGGGAAAATTAACCTTCACAAATGCGTGCGCACCAAAGTAGATACGTAGTGGGTTTTTTTGTATCATCAACATCCCGTGCCAATCGTTGCGCAAAGCAATTCTTGAGTCGTTTCAAGACGTCACCAGAACGGTTCAACTAACATTCTGCTGATGATAAAGGAAAACAGCTGAGCCAACACCATGCGTCGAGTGTTCTTTGTTACGGTGCTTTGGCTGTTGATGAGTAAGTGATGCAGATAGGCTTAAAAACTGACCGTCTCGCATGACTGACATTACGACATTAGAATGAGTACTGTCAGGACGGTCCCGAATCAAGCTGAGAGATGGGACCTTTTTAGCTTCGTAGCTTTGCTATTATTAGATGGTGTGGTTAGTCAAGAGGTTAATGATTAAAACACGGGTAGGCAGAAATCTATTTTCTGGTAATTCACAAAGAGGTAAATGCCAATAGGCTATTCCTGAGAACAGTGCCCATGGCAGCGTTTCCGTGTTCACTCAAATTTACTCAATAAAGTGCAGGAGTATTTCCCCTTTGTTTAGTTAATTGATTATTTTCATTGGAGGAAGTTTCCGCATGCCCATGACGTCATTATAAGTCATTTGCGTGTTTATTACATATTTGTGCGGCGGCGAAGGAATATGTTAACAACCGGTTGGAACAAGATTTCATTTTGATAATTAACGAAGTTTATAATAAAAGTTAAATTTTATCTTTATAAGAAAAGTTAAATTTTATGTTTTTAATATTCTTACTAAGAGTAGTGTGGGAATTTGTTCGAAATATTAATGAAAATAGAGAAAATAATTCTCTTGTAGGGTACTTTAAAATTATGCGTACATAGAAAGGAGTGCTTTAATGTTACGTCACTTGTCGTCTTCTTTGATGTGCTCTCTGGGCGTCCGACGGTAAGTTCGAAATTCGTTTTTTTTGTTTTTTTCATCTACAATTTGTTTCTTTTTAAAGATAATTTTGGGGTTAGAGTTAGGGATAAAAACCTAACGTACAGTTTCATGAAATCCACTTGTATACACTTTATTGCAGGTTCCAAATTAAAAAAAAAATGTGCACAAATGATTGGAGCAAAACTGCCGGCATTAGGCCAACATGTTGAGAAGATGGTGGCGCAAATAAAAAAAAATGATAATTAGCCAACCAATGATAATTCAAATTTATAAATAATGAACCAATTAAAATTTTAATACAAAACACGTCATCAGCACTTCCTCCGACAATCAAATAAACAAAGGGGAATGTCTCCTGAAAATATTTAATAAGCACGCAAAGTAGTTGATAAAATGCCTTCTCCCCAACCGTCCCCCCCTTTTTTTTAAAACACGTGTCTTAGCACTACTTTATTTTTTTTTTATCGGCCGCCATCTTGTTTGACACGGTCAATGACCTTCTCACGGATCATGTCAACAAAGATGGTGGCCATGATGGGGAAACCCCGGGCATTGTCCTCGTAATTGACCTGCAAAGAATCCGTGCCATGCTTTTTATCCTCCATGGCCGCCACCATGGTTGCCACGACCCGTGAGCTAACCAAAACTGGTGGCCTTGGGGGAAGATAAAAAAGCATGGCTCGGATTGTTTGCATTTGTGGGGGTTATGCAAAGAAACAGCGCCATGACGTCATTTACGTGATTTTCGGTGGACAAAATATTTTCTTTGCATTACCCCCACAAAGGATTTCTTCATGCATTATCGTGGTAACCTTCGTACTCAAATGTATACAACCAACACTGATCCTCACCCTACAACCTTGCAAGTTCGCTTTACATGTCGTGAATGAAATGTATTGTTCCTTTCCATCAAAGCCTTTGAAGGTTCCGCCAAATTTATTGATCTCCACCACTACTGCGTTGAACAGCAACCTGATTATGGACACATTGAGATCGGCAGAATCACCTTCAAAGATATAGTTCGCATGTGCAGGTAATGAACATCGATTTAAAATAAAAAGTACCAATTTAATTATTTTTTTTAAACCAATAAAAATTGAAATATTCTCTTTGTCTGCATTTTAAACTATCTATGCTAAAAAAGCGGGAATTGGTTAGTCATTTTGTCTAGTGTATATTCACCTATCTATTCTAAATTAGCGGAAATTGGTTAGTCATTTTGTCTAGTGTATAGGCTGGCATTTGTCACAGTGTCTAGGTCATATGCAAATTTCTATGCTGAATGAGTGGGCATTTAATTTTTTCACTGTGGCTTGTGCAAATCCAATTATCTGTGCTGAATTAGCGCCCATTGAATTGCCACATTGTTTAGCACATATGAAACTATCTCAGCTGGATCAGCGCTCATTTGATTGTCACATTGTTTAGTGCATATTAAACTATATATGCTGAATTGACGGGCATATAATTGTCAGAGTGTGTAGCGCGTATGTAAATGTCTATGCTGAATTGGCGGGCATATGATTGTCACAGTGTGTAGCGCGTATGCAAATGTCTATGCTGAATTTGCGGGCGTATGATTGTCACAGTGGGTAGCGCGAATGCAAATGTCTATGCTGAATTGGCGGGCATATGATTGTCACAGTGTGTAGAGCGAATGCAAATGTCTATGCTGAATTGGCGGGAATATGATTGTCACAGAGTGTAGAGCGCATGCAAATGTCGATGCTGAA